CTCGATACAACTTGACACCATTAGTTAAGGGTTTCATCTAGGAATAAACTATTGGTAAGTTAACTCGTCCAAGAGCAGTATTTGTGTTGATGAGTTGGTCCAATGAGGTTCACGTTCAAATAGTGATGTTAAATGCTGGCACGCACGGCTCACTTTTTTTTTTTTAATTGAAATGGCATATTTTAATCATTATGGCCAGTCGGCTCGCGCCACTTGGACATCCCTACATTCATGAGAATTGCGATTTCAATGGAGATGTTAGTAGAAAGAGGTGTAAACCAAAATTAACATGTTATTTTGTAGTTGTTAATGATCTAATTACTTTACTTCAAATAGTTTACAAAGAATTTAACACAGCGACAGAAATAGATTCACCTAGCTGATTTTAAATTTATTGAGAGTATGACTGTATGTTAATATTGGTTACTCGCTGGGGGTTATGTTTTGATTACAATATTGGGTGATTCTGTCATGTGTTTTATAGTAATGTAGTCTGATAAGTGTATTTTATACACTTATTCGGATCTTTAAATATAGATATTTTGAAATTCTTTTGATTAATTGTAGTCTAATTTATTGTATATCTTGTTTATTATGTAAAATTTGATGATTGGACGTGAAATTAAAAGAAAGAAGCCAAAAAAGGATGGAATTCAAGGAGTGGAGGGACCTAATTGAAACTTTTTAATAGTTGATTCGGAGCACAAAATGAATATTGAAGATGTTATGGATTCAATTGTATGCAATTAGAAGATAAATGACCGAAATTGCAATACAAAAGAACCTTAAAAAAAATAGTTGAATTTGGGGACTAACTTGCAATTTGCAAAAAATACATCTAGCGCCAAGGCACTATCCCTGAGCTCCCAAGCACTTGGTTGCGGAAAATCCAGTTTTCCATAAAATCCTTAACAAATATTATTTCTAACGCGATTTTCTTTCACTTTTCAAACCTTATAAATACCAAACAGCCTCATGCAATCAAGAGGGGAACCTTTCATACATCTAAATTCATCAATTAACATTATCAAATCGAGGTCAATTCATTGTTCTTGTGAGAATTAAAGGACAATTACAAGTTTTCAAGAAATTGGAGTTTCAACCTTAATTGTTGGAAAGACAACAAGAAGATATATTGAATATTCATCAAAAAATCATTGAAGAAATTCAATATTTCGAGATCCATCGATTCCATCCTCTTCTTCGTCATCAATTTAAAATTCAAGTTATATTTTTCCAATTAAATATGTTTTCTTGTGATTTTGTAACGCTGTGCTAGGGTTTCTATTATTAAGGCATTGATGAACCATTGTGATGTTTTAATATAAATTCGATAATCCGATGCCCAATATGTATTTACTCTTGGTTGATTGCTATAGGATTGAATGATTTTTAAATTACTTGATCACTAATTGGATTGATTGTGAATTTTATTAATTTCGAGAAAAACAATAGGATAGAAAGCACTTTATAAAATTCATTGTAAAATCCAATAATAAAGATATACAACTATACTTTGCATAATTTCTATAAACGTTCTAACATGGCAAAAGTGATAAATGAAATTTTAATTCCATTTTCCAGGGAAAAAAAGGTCTATCAAACAGGCCCTTAGTTAATTAGTATAAATTTTCCAAACGAGTTTTGCTATTCAATTAAAGTTAACATTAATTGACACTAGATTAAGTACGTGGTCCTCGTAGGAATGATATTTTATTCATCTTTTTATTATTTATTTGTGATATCGTATATTTGCTCGAATCAAGAAATCAACTGTTTTAATTTATTCCTATAGGTCAAAAATTTGGACTCAATACTAAAAGTTATCAGATTAATTAAGCAAATATTTGAAATAAAGAATCAATTAGCAAAGCAGCATGCATTATTATTGCAGAAATGACATCTGGCCCTTCTGATTTCCTTTATGAGAGAGTACACAAAAAAAAACACAGATTTAAAAAGAAGGAAAGAAAGAAAAACACACACACACACAAATAGACAAAGGCACAAGGTTCTCATCATGGTTTAGGCTTTTAAGGAAGACAACACTTGTAGCTCACAAAAGAAGGGTGCAAACTTAGAGAAAATTACTCTAAAAAGGTTGCTTCTTTACCTTAATCTATGTTCTTATAGTGAAGGACGTGTTTGGCACGATAAATTGAACCGAATAACTAATAAAATTTTCATATATCTTCATTTCTTAATTTATTCAGTTTGTTTGATACTTTCGAGACCTAGAATTACATCTTCAAATAATTTATTAGTAAAGTAGTTCAATTTCTTTATAAACTCAATAGTCAATATTATCTTCACGTGTTACGTGTAGTTAGCGGTGGCAATGGGCCGAGCCGGTCCATGAGCTCGGCTTGTGCTCGTTTGTAACAAGTCTTCTGCTCGGCAAGTTACCCGTGAGTTGAGCCGAGCTTCGACTCGCAAGCATGATTTTTTAAATGTTTTTTTAACTATACATGTTCTAAACCTTAAAAAAAAATCTACAAGCCACTCGTCGAAAAACGACTCGACCTTTGTAGTCCATATGAAACTTGTACGTCTCCAACAATAAGTGCTACATCATCATGGCCAATTAGTCACAATCATTTTCCACCTCAAAATGGTGACGTCCTCTATACATCTTCTTTCTTGTAGACTGTATTGTGTGATCTTCATCATTTCCACAACCATCTCAATAATTCATTGTTACGGAATCTCATCTCAGACTTCCCTATTAATTGGGGCGCACATATTGGTTTGGATCTTTTAATGTCTCAAAATTTTAAGTCTGTGCTAAGCATTTATGAAATTTTTGACCAAAATATATTTTTTCGGATTAAGTTTTACTTAGAAACTTGGTTAAAGGACGTGATATGCATAATAAGTTTCGAGATCACAACTATCTTTATCGTCAAAATTACGATAAAATGTCGTACTTTTCTATATTTTTCTCGATATGAATAGCGAGTAGAGCAAATTGAATTACAACTATCAGATTATTGATCTCAATATAAAGAAATCCTCCATTCGATTAGAGAAAGATTTGTAGCTTGTACATCAGGCGCATGAAGATGACAGCAGAGGAGCATAGGCACACTACCGTAGACATACACAGAATTGATCGAAAATGCATAATTTTAATTGAAATACAGATCGTGAAATGTAAGTTATAATTGAACAATTATAAGCTGCCAATGTTGTTGTGTTTCCTAATTATATATGGATTTTGATTCTGATACTGAAATATTATTATTAATTCTTGTTATAATTTAGGAAGAATTTTAACACAACACAATAAAATAATTTAACGACGTAGATTTTGTGTTATTTGTCGTATTATTTCATGATATTCTTTCCTCCCTCTACTTCTATACATCAAACGTATTTACCAAATATTTACACTTTCAATTAAGGGTCCGTTTGATTGACAAATGTGGAATAAAAAAAAAAAAAAATTCTAATTCCATTTTAATTGAAAAATAAAAACCCACCAAACCCATACGAATTCGTTTTCCATGAAAATAAAGAAAATACAGTTTAAAGTGGTTGTACCTTGAAATTCGATTTTCATTTCCACGTTGCAATCAAACGGCTAAATTGGAATTCGTTTTTCTCGGATATGACATTTTCCATAGAAAATGTGGCAATCAAACATGGACTAAAAGTTATAAGTTTATTTAAATTTTGCAATGTATATAGTGTTGCATAGGAGGAAATTAATTTTAATTACAATAATAATGAAAGCATTTGATTCAAGATTGTTCTTATAAAATTTACTCTTTCAAAAATAAAATAAAATACAGTGTAATCTGTTCTGTATATACAAAATCTTATAATCTGATGGAAAGAATTTTATTTTTCTGACATTTTAACCTTAATCTCAACGAATCCAGATTTTGCAATGACATTATAATCCATAGACATTTTTGTTTTGTAACGACTTTGCAACAAAAAAAAAAAAAACCCAAATTTCGTTTATCCCTCGACAGATTACAGATATAAGGTTTTTAATTTTGATAACATGATGCCCCAATTGCAAAAAGGGTTTTGTTATATGTCAATCGATGCATCTGGTGTATAGTCCTTTTCACAATAGGGAGTTCATAAATTTTTTATTGGACGTGAACCCTCATTTTTATGAGGGGGTGGACACCGCGACAACTGATGTACCAATTGCAAAACACGAGCGAAAATCTGCAGGAATTTAATGTACAGCCCATTTTGTTGAAGAAACCTGACAAGAATACACTTGTCGTAATAATGTTCACAAATTCAACAAATCTAACCATTTGACTGTTAACGTTACACCCCCACCACACCCCAATATTTTGTTGAGGCGATGCTTTATGACGGCGTGATAATTTGAACTATTTAAAAGTTGTAAAACTAACAAGCCAGTGAGTATTTCTTAGGTGGTTGAGGTGGGGTGGGGGAATCAAGAATACTTATGGAGTATTAATCCTTTGTTGAAGAATTCATGACAATGGCTTATGGAGTGATAATCCTTTGTTGAAGTTTGCAAAGCACTCAATTTTTTATACTGTGAAGCCAAAAAAAAGCCCATAAATAATGCCTCAAAACCAAAAGTGAGTGTGTGAAACCACCCCACTCCCTCCGCCTCCCCTTCGCCTTCCCTTTCCCTCCATTCCCTCTGTCTCTCTCTGATAACCAGATAGTTTTAATGCCCACCCACCACCCTTAAACTTCTCTCTCACTCTCTCACTCTCAGAGTCTTCTGAGAGACTGAACCTTTTTTAGTTAAACTTCTTTGCTCACTGTGTGCTTCTGTCTCTCATTTTTACTCTCTGGTGTTTGTTTTCAAGAAAAGAAAAATAGACTACACATTCTTATTTACTTCTGGAGTTTTCTGTGTACAATTGACCTTCTTCATTTCAAAATGTTAATTCAATTTTAGCTACTTCTCTGTTTTCTCTCAGATCTATAGCCAGACTGCCCTTTAATTCACCTCATTGTGTTGTTATCACTTTGTTTGTTTTGACTGTATAGAAATGAGTAAAGAAGAGTTCTTGAAGATCCAGGTAATTGTTTCTCTTGCTCATTGACATAAAATGTGTGCATTTTAGTGTGTGTGTGTTTTTAGGTGGTTGGGATGAGCGTTTTTAATGCTCTTTTGCTTTATGGGATTTGCTTCCATGAACTCAAAATCTCCAAATCTCATTATTTTTGTTGCTTCTTTATCTTTGTATTGTTCCTTAGGTAACATGCATTTCAATTAATTCAATTCAATGTTGATTATAAGTGATAAAGTTGTTAACTTTACTCTTTGTTCCATTCTTTGGCTTTGCTTATACTTGCAGACTTGTGTTCTTAAAGTGAATGTGCACTGTGATGGGTGTAAGCATAAAGTGAAGAAGATCTTGCAGAAAATTGAAGGTATACTTCTTTATTCAAGATTCCATTTTTATATTCTGAATATTTCCTTTGTAGCACTCTGCATATCCAAAAATGTTTATTAATATAGTAAAATTAAGCTCCAAAACAGCAAGATTAGGCTTCTCACGGTCGAAAGGAGACTAGTATGATTAGGCTATACACAGTCGAACAGACTTGCGGACTTATATTTGTGTGTATAATATGGCTTTATTATTTCGACTAATTTGCGGAATTTTGTGCAATATTTTGTGTTTATGTTAGGGGTTTACACCACAAACATAGATGCAGAGCAGGGGAAGGTGACTGTGTCTGGGAATGTTGATCCAACCACACTAATCAAGAAGCTTGCAAAGATTGGTAAACATGCAGAGCTATGGAGTGCACCAAAAGCCAACAATAATCAGCAGAATCAACTCAATAATCAGTTCAAGAACCTGCAAATTGGCAATGGGAAAGGTCAAAGTAAGAACCCTAATCAAAAAGTGGTTAATCCCCAGCCAAAAGGTGGTCAAAATCCGCAGCATCAACAATTGAAAGGGATTCAAGATCCAAAAATGCCGCCTCAGTTTATGAAGGACATGAAAATGCTGCCCCCTCAATTAATGAAGGACATGAAAATGCCTTTCAATGGCAAGGACCAGAACCAGAAGTCTGTCAAGTTCAACGTGCCTGAGATTGACGAATCTGGTGACGATGAGTTTGACGATTCAGACTATGATGAATTTGATGATGATGATGAGTTTGATGATGAAATGGATGACGTTCCGTTGAATAAGATGAAACCCGTGATGGGTAATGGCCATGGGGGTGGTCAGATACCTAAGATGATGATGAATAATATGATGAACATGCAGCACCCTCAGTTTATGCAAGGTGGTGCTAATGGAGGTAATAACAGAGGAAATGCCGGTGGAAATAGCAAGATGATGATGAATAATATGATGAAGGGGCAGCACCCCCAATTCATGAAAGGTGATGGTAATGGAGGCGGCAACAACAGAGGAAATGCTGGTGGAAATGGCAAAAAGGGTGGTGGTGCTGGAAACATACCGTTGCAGGTGAATGTTGGTGGAAATAATGATGGAAAATGTGGTGCAAATTTAGGCAAGAAAGGTGGTAATGGGAACAACAACAGTGGTAACCAGAACCAAGGAGGAGGAAAGGGTGGCAAGAATGGTGGTGCTCAACCACAAGATGGCAAAAATGGCGGTGGCGATGGTGGTCAGAACAAGAACGGAAACAATGTCAATGGTGGTGGTGGTGCTAATGGAGCGAAGAAAGGGGGTGGAATGAATGATGGGTTCCATGGTATGCCAAATATGATGGCTATGAATGCTATGAATGCAGGTGATAGTATGGGCCAGATGGGGAATATGCCCATAGGCCAAATGAGACCTATGGGTAATCCACAAATGGGTAATTTTTCGGCTGTCCAAGGGATTCCTACTTCAGCCATGAATGGTGGTGGTGGTTTCCAAGGTCAGGCCATCGAGCACATGGCCGGGAACCCCCATTACCAGCAACAATTGGCGGCAATGATGATGAACCAACAACGTGCAAATGGAAATGAAAGGTTTCAACCAATGATGTATGCCCGACCTCCACCTGCAGTCAGTTATATGCCACCTTACCCTCCTTACCCGTACCCCCAACATCCCGGCGAACAACCAGACCAGTACTCAATGTTCAGTGATGAAAACACCTCGAGCTGTTCCGTGATGTGAGATTGACAACAGCAGCATTAAACTGAATTCGCATAATTTTCTGTCGACCGTTAGCAGTCGTTGAACTTATGCTTCAGTTGTCGTTTCGATCCCATAATACACATGGTTTTGGTTTTACATTTTCCTTTCCTAAATCAAAGTCTAGATTAGTGTTTGATCATACATATGGAGGTTTGTTTTGCTGATGAAATATTCATATGTTGAAAACAGAAATAAATCAAAGAGAATGGGGTGTTTTAACAAAGATCAAATCCCATCTGTATATGCTTTTTCTCTCTCCCAATTCTTGTTTCTTCATTATTTTGCTTTAGATTCTAATTTTTGTGTACTGAAATGTTTGATGATCATGTGGAGTTCTCAGAAATGGGGTAAAAAACAAAAAAAAGGTACAAGAAAATATCCATATCATATGTATATGACCCTCCTCATTGAGTATGTTACTATTTGCAGTGTGATTGAAATTATGGAACTTCTTCTGCGAGGGTATGGTTAAAATTTCTTCAAATGGATGAAGAAGTTCGGGTCCACCATTGATGAACTGTCCTTTCTCTCAAAAAGTAGGGCAAATAAAAAAAATTATCTCCGAGCTTAAACGATAAGGTTGCTTGTTGTAACTAACAAGTAAGCGCCTTTCTCTACGTTGAGCTATGAGAATAGAGATTTCAAGTTATCCCATTCCTTCTCCGACCTTTCTTTGTAATAAAAGCATCAACTCGCTTTAGTCTTACACCTTTTGACTAAACTAAGATATTCTTTTTTCATCACATTGTCCAATTTCATTCAGTTGCATATTAAGACCAGTTTGATGGCTATTTTTTTGAAAAAAAATTGTTTTTTATTGTAAATTTTTGAAGAATATGTAATTAAAAAGTAGGAAAAATTTTTGAATTTACGTGTAGAATATTTTATTGTACGAATGTAATTAAAAATAAGTATGTAGAAATTTTTTTTTTAAAAGAATGAGAGGCAAATAGAAACTGAGTATGCACGTAAGGTGTAGATATTTCTAATATTTGAAATAAGCAACAATAACACAAACAATTTGCACACGAGTAGTATTTATACTATATATCAATTCTAAAGCCGATGATTCCAACAAAAAAAAAATATTGTACTAAATCATCAACCTCATGAGACATGTTTCATTTTAGATTTTTGACCGTCACAAACAAATTAAGAAACAAAATCTTTCTTCATAAATTTGTATATGTAAGGTTACTTGATGACTTCAATGAATGAGAACTATTTGTGCAACTAGAGACCAACTCTTTATTAGAATAATAAGTTGTCGACAGTAATGTAATAATGTATAATCTTAAGTTGGGACAAGTTTGTTTGGAGTTACATATATTATTATGTTAGTAGGTTTAACTTGGCACGAAAGACCCAAACAAGTAGGGTCAATCAAGCAAGCAAATCATTGGCATAGCATACTACCTTTTGTCGAATTGACATGGCTGTTAAAGTTATCTAACTTAGATTAAACTAAACCCTCGTTTGGCCCCCATTATTTGACATTTTTTATAGTTGAAAAATTTTGGAATAGTGATTGATGGGAGAATGTGTAGTGGAAAAGTAATGAAAAATTTTAGATTTGTGTGTAATATTATTTTATTTGATGAATGTGTGATTATAATGAAGAGAGAAAAATTGAATGTAATGTAATTTAATTTAATTTAATGGGGGCCAAACAGGGGCTAAATCCCTGTTTGAAAAGTCATTATTTCCTTGGAAAATGGAATTCAATTTCCTTCTTCTTGGTTTTGGCTAGTTTGATAGCCACAATTTTCTAGGCCAAAAATTTTTCCACCCCTTGATTCACGCGCCAGTTTTCCATGATTTGTGGGAAATGTTTTTCCCACATTTTTGGTGGGAAAATGAGTTCCACGTTTTTTTTTCTTGGCAATGGATACAAATTCCGTAATTAATTGTAAAAAAAATAATCACTTTAATGGATAATTACCATATAAAACAAAACTAAACGAATACTAAACTTTGATGAAAACATGATTTTTTAGGATTTTTTTTAAACTTTTTGGCAATGGAAACAAATTTTATAACCAATTGTGGAAAAAATTATCACTTTAATGGACAATTTTCATGTAAAATAAAGCTAAACGAACACAAAATTTTAAAATTTTTCGGGTGGAAAATTATACATGATTGTAATGAAGAGAGAAAAATTGAATGTAATGTAATGTAATTTAATTTAATGGGGGCCAAACAGGGGCTAAATCCCTCTTTGAAAAGTCATTATTTCCTTGGAAAATGGAATTCAATTTCCTTCTTCTTGGTTTTGGCTAGTTTGATAGCCACAATTTTCTAGGCCAAAATTTTTTCCACCCCTTGATTCACGCGCCAGTTTTCCATGATTTGTGGGAAATGTTTTTCCCACATTTTTGGTGGGAAAATGAGTTCCACGTTTTTTTTTTCTTGGCAATGGATACAAATTCCGTAATTAATTGTAAAAAAAAATAATCACTTTAATGGATAATTACCATATAAAACAAAGTTAAACGAACACTAAACTTTGATGAAAACATGATTTTTTAGGATTTTTTTTAAACTTTTTAGCAATGGAAACAAATTTTATAACCAATTGTGAAAAAAATTATCACTTTAATGGACAATTTTCGTATAAAACAAAGTCAAAAGAATACAAAATTTAAAAATTTTCCGATTGAAAAATTATACCAAACAACTAACTTTGATGAAAACATGATTTTTTAGGATTTTTTTTAAACTTTTTGGCAATGGAAACAAATTTTATAACCAATTGTGAAAAAAATTATCACTTTAATGGACAATTTTCGTATAAAACAAAGTCAAAAGAATACAAAATTTAAAAATTTTCCGATTGAAAAATTATACCAAACAACTACACTTAATTAACAATTTCCTACAAAACATTTTCTAGACAATTACTTTCCCTTGAATTCATTTTCTTTCCAACCATTTTCCATCATTGCAATCAAACGGATCCTAAATGATTAAAATCAAATCTTGATAAGAGTTTCAACTAGATACGTAACTTGACTTCCATCAAGAATTTAAGAACTTATAAGATACGTGTCAAACACGTAATACAATACACTGTCCACTAGATTCTCAAGAAAGTTGTAGATGACAAATCGCTAACTCTTCTAAGGCGATCACTACTAATTTCCTATGAAAAAATGTGAACAATCATTTTCGGTAAGAAGATGCACACTATATTATTATTTTATTTATTTATCCTTATCTGTGAAATAGTACAATACATGAGTCACTCGTACTTTTAGTATTGAGACATGGATGAAAATCGATGAGGTAGAATTCAAGACTGGTGGTGATAAGTATTTACAAGGCATTCTCTTTCAATAGTGTTAAATCTTTTAGATGAGAGACTTATCAAAGTTAAATAAAATCTAGAATTACATGGTTAAGCAAGAGTACAGATTGGACATGTGGTGCAGAATGATTACTTTTAATTGATCTTAAAGTTGATTAATTTGAAAGAGAGATCAACAAAAGCTGACATTCATAAGCTGTTTGCTTAATGACTTTTTCAGTTAATTGCTTCTTTTTTTTTTT